CTCTCCTGACCCCTGCACGTAAAAGGCCAGGACTCCCTGCACCCTCCTGAGCCCCAGGTAAGGGCAGCAGAGGCCCACAGCTCTTCTGCACTCCTGAAAAACACGGTCACACCAGGTCTGGACTCCCTGCTGACTGCTGAGCAGAGCCCAAGGCTTGCCTCTTGACCCACGACTGTGCCCAGGCCAGGAACAGGAGGGGCTGGCCAGGAGGAGCCTGGCACTAGGCACAGAGGAGAGGCGGTGGGCAAAGGGAGGACTTCTCCTGCCTTTCAGGTGCCACCTGCAGCTGACCCCCGTCTCCCGCTCAGTAAACCATGCGGGGAGACTTCCTGCATGCACAGGGGGTCGAATGTGCAACCTGCCCTGGACCTGGGAGGCAGCCCCGAGCTCAAGGAGGTGCCTGCATGGAGCCGCCCCAGTGGGAAGGGGATGGCCACCACAGGATGCAGGAATGGCAGAGCTGCCCTGGGGCTGGATGGGGGAGACCTGGGGGGGCTGAGGGCACCAGGGTCACCGGTCCTTACCTTGGCCACCTCCTTGTTGGGGTCCTGCAGGTGCAGCAGCAGCGCTGCCCAGCTCTGCCTCACCTGGGTTTTATACCAGCTGTGCCATTTTTTCCTTAGGCACCCTGCCAAGGTGCCGAACAGGGCAAATGAGGCTGTGCACAGGGCATCATCCTTCTGTGGACAAGAAACCCCAGTGGGGTCACAACCAAACCTCTATCTCATGGGCCTGGCACAGCTCCTGACAAGAGCCTTTGGTTTCCAGCCTGCTAGGCGGTCTGCCGGCCTGCTTCTGCCCCACGTGGGCTGCCTGGGAGCCGGGGCGCTCAGCGCAGCGTGGGGAACAGCACCAAAATTCATTTGCCGAACGTGCCGTCACTGGGGCTCTGAATCTGAATCCCGACAAAACCAAATCCCCCCGCCCCTGCGGTCGCTTGTCTCTGCCCAGCTCTGCTTCCGGCTCTGGAGACCCAACGTGGCTGAGAACAGCCCCAGAGCCCCACTCAGCCTGGCCCGGTCGCCCCTGAGTCCCTCCTTGTCTCCAAGGGCCCACCTGGCATCCCGTTCCCTTCGCTTGCTTTTCCTCCTGAGAACTCATTTCTTCCACAACAGTTAAAATCTTCCAGTTTGGACTGGAGAAAGGGGCAGCAAGTGCATCCCCTCCCCGACAGGGCCCACAACAAAGAGCATTCGAATGGGGGTGGGGAGCGGTGCTCACTCACGTGGTCAAAAAAGGCCCTGACGTGCGTCCCCACAGCCAAAATGACAGGCCCTGTACTGGTCCCTAACTGGCTGAGGACCTTGGCCAGCGATATCATGCCCTCTGTCATCACCTCATCTGCAGATGGCACGAAGGAGGCTTGGACCAGGGTGTCCAGGATGAGGGTCCGGTGGTGTTTCAGCTGGACAAACAGAAGACGCGACACATGGATCAGCGCCTACGCTCCTCACCTCTGGGGGCCCCGTTATTCCCAGAGTGTTCAGGACTTCATCTGTCCAAGCAAGCCCCCATGGCTACATTCCCGTATGCCTGTGAGACGCAAGGCACCCACTTCTACACCAAAAGTACACTCGTCACCCCAACGGTCCCTAGAGACACCGCAGGGGCGAGAGAGCAACACTGAATATATGTCGGGGGGTTGTGCGCCCTTTCAGCCCTGCCTCATTGTCTGGTCTCTACGATCAAGCTCCTGTCCAGACACGGCAGAGGGCTTTTGACCTCACCTGTGCAGGGGCACCATGTGCCACGTTCCCCAGGGCCCTGGCTGCCATCCGCCGAACGGCGTAATTGCTGTCCTTGGCTCGTTCCGGCCGCAGAAGAAGGGCTGGGGTCAGCAGCGCCTCGTCCTTGGT